GGGGACATTGTCTTGCAAGACTAGTTCCAAACGGTCGCAGTCGTTCTGGCATCTGACTGCTGCCAGAAAATCTTTTTTTTTTTCGCCCAATCAGAGTGAAGTGTGCTTTGGAGTCCTTTCGTGTGTTTTAATACGGACATATACGAGAAGCTCTGTTGCTCGCTATGTTTGTTTGAGCCGTGCGACGAAGCTTTGCCCGTGGTGAAAAGTTTCAGTCTCAGCACACAATGTAAGAGAAATCGATCAGATCTACCAGTGTAGATTTTTTGTATAATTTGCTGTAACTGAAACTTTTTCAATCCCGTGTATTTCGTCGCACGGGCCACGCCAGTATGTCGAACAACTGGCGCTTACGCAGCTTTCTGTGCACGCCAAAATCTAATCTAAACTTCGCCTGAAAAAAAAAAGAAAAGCTATTATAAAGCGTGGAAACTTTCGTTTATTAGATGTGGGCAGATAACCCTGTACTAAGCTGACATTTACAATAAAGCAAACCCGCCCTTTCCATCCAATATTTCCTTGTCTTTGGTTTAATTTGTTTTGCCCAATGAAAGCAGCATCGATTCCCAATGATCAAAGGTATTTAACTTGGTCTTCAAAACTCGACAAATATGATGAGGTGAAATGAGAATGACCAAGGGAGTAGAGGAGAACCCGTGGCCTTTCGAGCTCAAGAATTTGAACACTCTAGGCAGCAGTTGAAAGATTAAACTCTTTCCAAACCCCTTCGGTAAATGTTTGAAAACATCTCTCCTTCCCACGATGTTCTCGATAATTAGTTTTTATTCAGATTTCAATTAGCCAACCGAAAACACAGCTAAGCTTTCTGTAAGCGCTTGCTGGAGGTCGTCCACGAACTCAACGTTCTCTGCAACTTTGGCCATATTGTGAAAGACTTTACTACAAAGCAAAGATTAGATTTTTGCGCGCACAGAACGCTACGTAGGCATAAGCGCCAGTTGCTCGACCTACCTGCGTGGCCAGTACGACGAAATAACTTCACCAGATTGGCAAAGTTTCAGTCACAGCAAATTGTACAAAAAACCAAGAAAGATTTAAGCTTACATCTCGTTTAACGTTTAAAGCGACATATCAACGCCTGCAGCCATCATGTTCAGTTTATACGAACCTCGCAAACTTTTATACACGTTCTCTTGTGATACCGCCGCCTGGTTAGCTCAATTGGGAGAGCGCCGGACTGCTGTGCGGGAGGTCGAGAGTTCAATACCGGCCGGACCAACACTCAGGGTCTTAAAATTAACTGAGAAGAATATGCTTCCTTTCTTTAACATCAAGAAATGGTTAGATATTCTAGTCTTCTCGGATAGGGACGAATAAATGGAGGTCCCGTCTCCTGCAGGGTTAGGGGCAGGAGACGTTAATTTCCCACGCACGAGATTACTGTGTGATGGATGTCCTCCCCTGGGGTGGGATGGGTGG